AGAACAGCATGGAGATGTTTGCCTTGATCAGGCAGAATTAGTCCCATATTCATTGGGCTCTGAAGCTGAGGCGTAGGAGAATTTCTACTGCGCCCACTTGGAAATGTGCATGTATGTAAGAGGCTGTGAATGAGAATGTTTTCATTCCCTCTGTGACCTTATGTTTGACTTGGATCATTTTTAACAGAGTGCGTGTGTGCACAGACAAATACACACACACCCTTCTACCCCAAAAAGGTTTTGTCTCTTTGATGCAAGTATTTAGTCCTGAAGCAGCAAGGTCAGAATAGGGATGTTCAGCTGTCTGTTCTCATTGCCATTTCGTGTGATTGTAAATGAAGCAATTGCTATCATCTCCTGTTGTTCATGCTGCTTTAATACCTGAGAGCCATAGTCAGAGGCTAAGAACATGCCATGCTACACAGCCCATTTCAATTAGACAGTCCCTCAATGACAGGGCTTATAATACACACACAGGACAAAGGACAAGGGGTTGCTACAAACTGATAGGAGGAGGACTAAGCAACCATGCAGTGGAACTGCAACAGTCCACCCACTAAGCAAAGGTTTCAGTTACTAATGTCTGAGTTTTTCTGCAAGTGTCATGTTGAAAAGATGAAGAGTGACTGAACCTGTGGGTGTGTAGGGTGAACAATACCCAGCCAGGAGAAGCATGGAGGGACTTGTCAGAATTCCAAACAAGGTACCATAGAGACTAATATAATAAACTTCTTGGAGGGGAGAGTGGGTTCCTTAACAAGGAATAAGGGATTATTTGGGGATGGGCAGTGAGGGGTCTTGAAAATAGAGACCAGCAGTTTGTCCCAGGTGTCAGAGAGCAAAGGAATGATAGAAAAGTGTGAACAGAGAAGACCACCTGGGCAGAGTGTTGGGTTCATGCAGTGATGGTTGCAGCAGTGATGGTTGTAGCTGTGCAGTTACTTATGAAAGCTGGCAAAAGAGGTGCTGTATTTGTGGCACTACCAGAAATGACAATCTGGGTCTAGTTTTACAAATAGTACGAGATGACTAGAGATGGAAGAGACAGATAAACCTACATTCTGTTGTGTTTCTCTACAAAATCATTTCTTCATTTCTTATTGTAAGATCAGAGCCTTTAAAAGTCAACCGTATTATTGTAATAAACCCTGATCATTATTGTAGAACTTTGAAAAAGTAAGAAGTAGGGCCCTATTGCATTGGTTGCTGTACAGATATAAAGTGGTATGGTGACCTTTAATGATAACTTATTTTTCCCATTGCTACTTATTTTTTTCTCACAGTTTGAAAGGGAAATATTTGGGGTGGGATGTGGGTACAGAGAAACAGAAGAAATAAGAAGAAAAATGGGAGAAATAAAAGACAGAAGTGCAGGGAAAACAGATGAAGATACTATGTGGCTTATAGGGATGGAGGTTCTGAAAAAGTCAGCACAGAGGAAAGAGTTCTTTTTCAGAGTAAGGCAAACACTTGAGTGAGCTCAAGTGGGACTGTGGGCCCTTGCTTTCACTGCTTGTGCAGCTGCTCCTTCCAGCTTGAGTGGGTTGACACCTCCCTTGTTATTCCCTTGTGCTGACTGTAGAGCATATCTGAATAGCAAAGAGATTTGCAATTAAGATAAATGCTTCAGAGAGCTAAAAAAGCTCTCATTTTTGCTGAATGTATATTTTTTTGCATATTTTTTTTTGTTTTTTTTGAAGCCCACTCAATTAACAATTATTAATGTTCTGGGTGATCACCTACTTTTACCAAGCACTGAGGTTTGATCCCTAGGTCTTCTAGTTAGCAAATAAGAAGGCAAGGAGCCTAATTTATCATTGCTAACAAAGCTGTTGCCTGGGAACCTTCATACTTCTGCACTGCTGAAAGGGAATGACCTAAAAATAAAGGGAAGGGTTTGTAAGCAAACACTTTGCTTTTCATTTGAAATATCTCAACTACACCTCTGCTCCATCCAGCCTTCCTTCATTTAGTGCATCAGGCCCAGGTAGCAAAGGCTGGGAGGTAGCAGATGGGAGGCTGCCTGTTGCTCAGTTTGGAAAGCAGCTCCTAACATTTGGCTCACACCTGTCAGCAGACTCCGTATACACTTGTTTGTCCTCCTCTGTACCATATGTTTCTATGTAAAATCACTTCCAATGATCTATTGCCTTACTTTTATCACTCCTAATATGGTTGTCACTGAGCACTTCACAGTCGTTAATGCCTTTCCTTGACAGCATCCCTGTTGTGTAGGCATCGAATATCACCCACTGTACAGATGGGTTAGCTGAAGAGCAGATCAGCAGCTCCTCAAAAGTCTTCAGGCACCCCTTGTTGAAGTCAATGGGAAGGAAACAATTCTCCAGGAGAAGTGAGTCTGGGAAAGTGAACTATGCAGTTTTACTCTAGGAATTTGCAGTAGAGTGAGGAATCCCTTTTCTGGGTCCTACATGAACACGTAAAGTTCTGGACCACTCTTGATTTCTTGACACAGAGCTGTTCCCTTACTTTGCAAGACCTAGAAGACCTGTGATTGCAGGTGATGATCCTGCTCTAGCAGAGGGGTTGGACTCGATCACCTCCAGAGGTCCCTTCCAACCTCTAAAATTCTATGATTTTATGATTTTTTACACTCTTTGACAGTAAATCCCCATCTTATAACTCTCCATGTCCTCATCAAGGCCTGGAAAAGATGCTGTCCTCAGCAAAAGGTTTAATTTAAAACTTAGTTAAAAGCCTATTGGCCCAATATAGTGATAATAATCAGCTGAAAAGTGTTCTGTCCAAATAAGAAAAGTTAAAAGCTTTTGCAGCTGTGGAGACTTTTTCCTGTTCTATCTATTCTTTGCATTCTTGCTTACCTCTCAGAAAAGAACTTCTTCACAGTCCTTCAGATTTACAGTCTATGTAGGAGAAGGTTTTTTAAAATGTACTTACCTATCAGTCACTTACTTATTAATTATAACTAAAAACATAATTAATCCATCATGGGTAAGGCTGCTAATTAACATTGATTATGCAAATATATTTCTGTTACTTATAAAAAAGGCAGCATTCCTATCAGTTTTTACATCCATGTGTACTTAGCCTGTATACACACAGTAGCTGCAGGGCCCTGGTGATGTTCTTTCTACCAAAGATGGGATGAGGTTGCATCATGGATGTCTGTGTCACCCCCACAGTGCCTGTGTAGTAATTTATTTCCTCAACACTAATGATGTTATCTAAAATAGATATTTCTAAAAATCTAAATAAATATTTCTAAAATCGTTAACAACTACAGTTATGAAAAGTATTTCCAGGGGCTCTTAATAACTATGGCTGAAATTCCTGTGGGGGGTCTCAACATCAAGACCAAGGTGCTCCTGAAGCCCCTCAATGAGCAGGAGCTAAAAGATGTGTAAGTCTTAGACAAATGTGAATGTCTAAGGAAAACAATTGTTTTGATACTGCAGAACATAGTGTTATTTTTCTCTGAATATTCAACTGATCAATTTTTTACTCACCTGTAGGTTGGAAAGTTAATTTTGAGGTGTCAAACTTGAAATTTGTAACCATACCTGAAATCCTTGTGCATCCATCCTGTCAAGCAGTCAATGGGTGGGACATGTTACATTGTAGTTAAGTTACACTGTTTAACTTTTTAAATGTTCTGAAGAGCTTTTCACAGGGAAGAATTTAAAAACTGACTCTTCCAGAAGGCTAATTATATTGGTCTTAGGAGCAGAAGACAGGTAGGTTGCCTTTTAAAGGAATGATTCCACTGATGCCTGGGTGACCTGCTTAGACATGATGCCCTATTTCTGGATAGGTAATGTATGAAGAATACAGCCATTAGGCCCATTAAATATGTGAAGTACAGAGAAAAAGCCCAACTTCAAATTTGTCTTTCACACCAACTAGCTTTTTGGTTAAATATGATAAAGTTTTGTGCAAGGTTTTTTGTGTGAACACCTGAAATTGAAGACCTGCACTGCAAATTGATGTCAGCAAGATGTAACCTGCATCCCTTCTGTGCTGCATGTCTCAGCAACCCAAAGAAAGAAACCATGTTGATTTTCCTCTGGATAAGTGCCTTGCTGAATGCAGACAGAGTTGCAGTCAGTAGGTTTCTGAGCATGCAAATTTATGAGAGTCCCAAAAGTTTGTAGAAGGTAATAGGTTGGTTTTTTTTCCTAAGCATTTTATTAGCCAAGTGATAGTCAATGCATGGTGGGAAAGTAGAGGAAGATTGGAAAGAAAATGTAAACTTCTCCAGAAGAAGTTTCGTTCATATAACTTTTACAGTCCTTTGCTTAGCTAACTTTCTTTTGTATAGCTCTTTAGTCATCATAGTCTGGTGTAATGCAGGCCACAGTAAATTGTTTGTAGCCATTTGCACGTATTATAGTGACACAGAAATTTTCAAGGTCACTGTTAAATCTTGGAATGCCATTTCACTCTTCTTGTAAAGCTGTGTTCCCCTACCCTTTCTTATTAATAAATATGATACCATTCTCTTTGCTTTTCTTTCATTCTGCGCAGCTGTACTCTTTTCTTTCATCAAGAGACAGCCACCATTTCTTTGTCACACTTAAATACGGATTTTTTTCTTCATTATTTATGAATACCATGCTTGGATTTTCCTTATGGAATAGCAATTAAAACAGCACTGACATTTAGAATGTGAAGGAATTTCTCAAACTTATTATAGTTTTGTTAAAATGAGTCAGACACTTTTGGTCCAAAATTCCTGACATACACATCCATATATATTAATCACTATGACATCATTGGAGAACTATTTTTACCTTGGTGATAAAAACTGAATTCATTTGTCAGCTTTTCAAATTATGTTTAATCCAGTGAGCATTAAGACAGGTTAGGAGAGACACTTGCTCTCAAATACTAGCAGAACTCATGCACATGTCTGGAAAAGCTTTGCAAAGAAAGACATGAAATATTTGCAGTTTTGAAACATAGATGAAAAACACACTATAACAACAGGAAATAGGTTTATTAAGTAGAGTTAAACTCACCTGTCAACAAAAGCATGGTGTAGTACAAAGACAGGATCATTTGCAGAGCCTTGTACTTGGGACATGGAGCCATTCATGTAGATGTGAAGTGCATTATGCAAACTACTTTGAGATGCATTTGCGATTGCAGTCCGTGGATCAGCAAAGCCTGTAATTTTGAGGGGAAACCAAATGCTGATATGACAATGCATATAATTCTTTTTCCAGTAAGACTGAAGATCAAAGTACCTGCTTTCACTTCACTTATGTTCAACTTTTTAGACAAGGGTTTAAGAAAACACATGAAGGAGTGCTAGTATAATTCAAAGGCATTGCAAAAATGAAATTAGAATAAGCTAAATTAAAAATCCTGCCATGTAGCTAATGCAGCATGTCAGCAAATGTACTGCTTAATTGCTTTTATATTTTTTAATATTTTTGTCCATTGTGTCTGGCTGTTAAAAGGCAATTTAATCCCTGCAGACATTTGAGCATGTACATATATTCATGTTGAGGAAATGTATTTATTTTCACTTTTGATCCCTATACCTACAGGTTCCTAAGATAAAACTGGCACCTAGGAACCAATATACCAGAATAACCATCTCTGATGGTAATAATATGACAAAGATTTTGAGAAATTCAAGGGAAGTTAGAGTAAATAACATAATCAGGATGATTGGATGAGGTAGAGCTGGCTTGTGATGAAAATTGTAGGACTTCAAGGTGGAGGGGTTCTGGATTTAGGAGAGAAGGGAGAACATGTTAACACTTACAAATAACTGTGAGTTTTAAGTACATCAGATGTGGACCAGGATTATTGAAGACACTACATGGTGACATAAACAGCAATTGGCAGAAGTTCTCAAAAGGAAAATCTTGCCCACGTGACTTTGCCTGATGGTGAATGCTATGTTATCTAGCTTTCAATCAGGGGAAACAGAAGAATAAAATATTACTTATTAAGAATATTACTTATTACGTATTAAGAATATATTGGCATGTATATTGGCAGTGGGGCCAGGACTCAAAGGAACCAATGACAACCGTTTTGCTGATGGCCACACTGCATGATCCCTGGAGGTGTTTAAGGCCAGGTTGGATGAGGCTTTGTGCTGCCTGGTCTACTGTGATGTGTCCCTGCTCATAGCAGGGGGGTTGGAACCTGATGAATTTTGAGGTCACTTCCAACCTTAACCATTCTATGATTCTATGATTCTATGATCATTGGGCTCAGTTGATGTAGCAATACTAGGAAGTCAATGAATATGATGAAAATGATCTGTATGTCATTGTGAAGCAAATCTTCTTCTACTCACCTGCATTGTAAGTATGTTTAAGGGAAGATAAATGTTACAGAGTCTAGGCAGAAGACTAGATGTTCAGCTATTCAGGATGACATACTGCGAGATGGGGTAGAGCAAATTAAAAAGAATATATGAACACGTGGAATTTTTTCAGAGCACAGTAAACTTTGCTAAGGTGGCTGCAGTAAAATCACCTCTACAGCAAATGGGAGGCTACAGAAATAAAAATGCAGTGATCTGAATTAAGAGCTCCCTGCCTCTTGTTAGGGGAACTCCACTTTCCCCACCTGTCTTGCCCCGCGCTGTGCCTTCATCTCCCTTGTTAACTGCACCTCACTAGTCCTTCTGTGAACTGATTTAGCCCCCTAACCTCGCAGTAAACTACCCTGAAGTGTGGGATGTCAGATTTTTTCCAGGTGACTGAGATACAGTATCTCATGTGAAGAGTATGATAAGAACCAGTGTTGGTACCCAAAAAGGAGGAAGAACAACTGACTGTTGGATGGAGAAGATTGCCTAGAGAAGCGGGACTGTCTCTGGTGACACTGACCTGTTCAATTATCTGGTCAGTTTAGGAAGCTGTAGCATTCAGACATCCTTTTAAACCCTTGTTTAATTCCAGTGCATTAGAAATAGCCATTAGGACAGGCACTACTGAAGTGAATACAAGTTTCACTGGGGATTTCAATAAGAGGAAAGTCACATTTTTAAGAGATCATAAACCCAATTCTGATCCTACCCATAACACTATAAATCAGCAGGATTCAGGGGATTTCAAGTAGCTTCACTGGAGCCAGGCCAAATTAAATCAGATGGGGATTTAGCCTGAAGTTTTTTATAGGAGGAGCTAATCATGCTACTCAAAATCAAGGCTGCCTGACAGTTTTTAGGATTATATACAGGTGGTTCTCATTGAAAATGCAATTGGGTCAGGTTTATGTCAGCAGAGGGTATGCAGAGCTCAGACAGTATTAATAGTATTCATGCTACAGGAAAGGAAAAACTATTCAAAAATTTTTCTGTCCTCTGACCATCTTAATGGACTGCTTACAGTCTGTGGGACAACTGTGGCATCCCTAACATCACTGAACTAGTCATAACAAAATTGCAGGTGTGTTTTTTTAACAGAAAAGTTCTTCTTACCAAATAAATTTCAGTTTTGTATGAATTTCTAGGCCAGTGGTGAGGGGAGACAAGAATTTAAAGGTCAAATTCTGCTTTGTATGTTGCATGTTGAGGGGGACTGAGGGGATTGAGTGAACCCTCCGCAGATTTTCAGATGACACCAAGTTGGGTGTCAGTGTTGATCTGCTTGAAGGCAGGAAGGCTCTACAGAGGGACCTGGACAGGCTGGACTAATTGACCAAGGCCAGTTGTATGAGGTTCAACAAGGCCAAGTGCAAGGCCTGCACTTGGGCCATGCAAACCCTGTGCAATGCTACAGGCTTGGGGAAGAGTGTCTGGAAAACTGCTTGGCGGGAAAGGATCTTGAGGTGTTGGTCGACAGCTGTTGAATATGAGCCAGCAGTGTGCCCAGGTGTCCAAGAAGACCAACAGCATCCTGGCTTGTATCAGAAATAGTGTGACCAGCAGGACTAGGGCAGTGATTGTGACCTTGCACTCAGCACTGGTGAGGCCACGCCTCAAAAACTGTATTTAGTTTTGGGGCCCTCACTACATGAAGGACATTGAGGTGGTGGAGAAGTCCAGAGATGAGCAACAAAGCTGGTGAAAGGTCTGGAGAACAAGTCTTATAAGGAGCATCTGAGGGAACTGGGGTTGTTCAGTCTGGAGAAAAGGAGGTTGAGGGGACACCTTGCTGCCCTTTACAACTACCTGAAAGGAGGCTGTAGAGAGGTGGGTGTCAGTCTCTTCTCCCAAGTAACAAGTGATAGGATGAGAGGAAATGGTCTCAGGTTGTACCAGGGGAGATTTAAATTGTATATTAGGAAAAAAATTGTTGACCAGAAGAGTTGTCAGGCCCTAGAACAGGCTGCCCAGAGTCACCATCCCTGAAGGTAGTTTAAATCCATGTAACTGGATTTCTTTGGGCTATGGTTTAGTGGTGGACTTGGCAGTGTTAGGTTTATGGCTGGACTCGATGATCTTAAAGATATTTTCTAACCTATATAATTCTATGATTCTATCTCTGAGTCCAACTGGCTGAAGTACTTTGTCCCACTCTCCCCAAAGATTATTTTTTTCTTAATAATGATTTGACATTTTAGAGAAATTCAAGTCATATGAATGCATCTACTTTAAAATAGGAAGGATTATATAGATAGAAGATTTTTAAGGCCAGATCCTTGTTAGTCTTTGAAGTTAGTGATGTTCTTGTGGCTTACATTTGTGGAGTTTTTCAGTCATTGGCAAACTCACAGGAAATTTTTCAGGGTTAAATATTACATATTTTGTCAAGCAGTGATATTGTTGTAATATCTGTAGAGTGAGGTAACTGTAAGGTCTGCAGAATTTGGCCTAGGAGGCTGTTGTAAATTAAAATTTGTGATTATCCAATTTAGACCATGTCACTGTCTTTCTTTTTTTTCTGAAAATTATTCTTGTAGAGCTTCTCTCTAATCTGGGCTCAAGAGTCTTTCTAGTTCTCCAAAAATGACCCTCTGTAGCTTGACACTACTTTTCAATGTGCAGCCTAAGATTACCCAGAGACTGAGGTTTGACCTGGATGAGGAATGCTTGCTGTAGGCTAAAATTTTTTTAATTAGAAGTTTTCTTATGGAAAACTTCATTTTGAGAAACAAGTTTCCACTAGCTACATGAATTGCAGTGAATATGCTGAGAAAAGTTTTCCAGAAGAAAATCTGTTATTTTAGAAGGAAAGGAAACTGCCCTATTAAAATGAAATTAGATTTTGAAAAGTTTGATGTTTTATTCCATTATTTCATAACAGAACAGCAGTAATGATACATAATTGTGACAGACAGTGGAATGACATGACATGGCTTGACTTGATGCCAAGTGTCATGACTTAATTAATGAATAATGAAAGTGATATAGACTTTTAGAATATTTTTCAGTGTTCTTTTGTGAGTCTCTGCAAAACTTAAAAGGCACTGATTTTCATTGAAATTGCCATGAATAAAATAGTTTCAAATTTGAAATTTGCCTATGAATAAAAAGAATTTTTTTTATTTCTTTTTTCTTATTTAAAAAGAAGTTTTTTAGCCATCTTCTTTCCTTCGGAATTGGCGTTCAAGGTGTCACACTAAAGCAGAATTGCACAAAGCAGAAACCCAACCATTTAATTTGCAGTCAGTGAATCCATTTCTGGTCTCACCTGAAGCATACAAGCTAGACTATTTTTCTGTTCTCTTCTTGTATCCATGAAGTGTTCAATGAAGTCAACAGTATTCCCCAGTAAGGGCCACAATTCAACAAATCCTATTTGAAGGAATTGCTTCAACTTCAAGGGGCAACCTGCAAGCTGCTTCTAACCTCTTGTTTCTCAGTCAAAGCAGAAAGTGTCCTGTCCCAGAGTGAGAGGGCAACCACTGTACTCTGTCTCAGGATCTGTTGTTTTCTTGACTAGTATTAACATTTGCTGTTTATGGTTGCTATTGTTACTCTTCAATGACATAATTTCTCAATCAAAGCAGCATTTTTTATAAAAGCACAGATTTGGCCTGTCTTGTTCATATCTGTTCATGACCATGCTGATACCTACCCCTTTGAAGATTAAAACAGCCTTTTAAATGGGACTCCTTCTAGTACATTCAAGCATGGAAGAGCATAAAATTTTGCCCAGAAGGGATTCTTCTACATGATTGGTTCTTCTAAGAGATCACAGGTGTTTCCACTACAGATCTAAGACTGAGTAGTCATTCTCACGTTGGTGTAAATCAGGAGCCACTCAATTACAGTCACTGTCTTGGTTCTGGTCATCTGTTGTAAATCTAGAGTAAATCCAGTAAAGTCAATGAACTTACTTTGGATTTACTTTAAATCTAAAAGAGATTAGAATTTGACCTTAGGTCTATTGGCACAAACTTGTGCAAACGAGAAAAGAAAGATTGAAAAGATTTTTGCTTAGAAAAAGAAGTAAATGCTGGGAACTACAGCGCGTTGCAGGTTTGTAAGATTATAATCACAAAGAAGTAGGTGCTGGCACAATAAATGTAAACTGGCCATTTAAGCTTGGCATCTGTACACGACAAAAAACTATGCAGGCCATTTGTAAGAAAGGAGCTAACACAAGATAGGTGGGGGGGGGTTGACAGTTATACTTGTTTAAAATCTTCCTACCATCTTTTTCAGCATTAACCGTGTATTCTTGCCCTCACATTACAGTTCAGTATCTTTTTAGCTAAGTTAAGACAGAAATGTTTGTGGTCTTGTGGTGTAAAGCTGAGTGTTGAAGTAATTCAGGTTAAAAATTGAAATATCCTCAAAAATGCATATGTGTATAATGCTGTCTCAGAATAACACAATGTCTAATGAAATAAGCTTCGTCTCCATAGCAATATAGACCAACGCTTGCTGAGCCACATCTGCCTTCAAACAGACTCATCACCAAAAAGCCCCTTGTCATGCAATGCTGTGGACATAGTCTCACTTCATTGATCTCTGGGTCTAATGAAATATTCTAATGAAGAGAAAAGTAACATGACTCTGTTGACCTTTACTGTCTTACATATCATCTTTTGAGCACTGTTGATAGGCTATAAAAGTTAGACAACCAGATAGAATCTGTTAATTGCACTGGGAGTTGGACTAGGAACAAGCATGGTCATTTTTTTAACAGAATTTCTCCTAAAATAGAGAGGATCTAATGTTAGGTTGCTTTGGGGTTTTTTGGGGGGGTTTTTTGGGTTTTTTTATGTCTACAGAATATTTACTGAGGGGACATTCATTGCCTCAGTCTTACCCTACCGAGCTTTTCCTCACTGTGCTACAGCTTCCCAGGCTCCCTCCACATGGATCCTAGGACTCACAAGTGTCTACTTTCACTGCCAGGAGAAAAGGAGCTGCTTAGTCTCTTTCCTTTCCTTTCCTTTCAGAATCATATGGGAGGGATCCTACAGATGCTCTGAAAGGGCTATGGTATGTGTCAGGGAGGACACGTTTAGATGGACTGATAAAACAGGTGTGCTCTGCCCCTGCATTGGGCTAATTGGCTGCATCCAGAAGCCAGACAGCACTAGGACCAAGACAGCATTAGTTGACAACGGGTTGAACATCAGCCAGCAGTGTGCCCAGGTGGCCCAGAAGGCCAATGGCATCCTGGCTTGTATCAGGAATAGTGTGACCAGCATGAGTAAGGATGTAATTCTCCCCCTGTGCACAGCACTGGTGAGGCCTCACCTTGAGTCCTGTGTCCAGCTCTGGGGCTCTCACTTCAAGAAGGATATTGAGGTGCTGGAGCGGGTCCAGAGGAAAGCAACAAAGTAATGAAAGGACTAGAGGGAAAGTCTTACAGGGATAGGCTGAAGGTGTTTAGCCTGGAGAAGAGAACACTCAGGACCTTCTCACTCTCTCAGACTACCTGAAGGGAGGTTGTAGTCAGGTAGAGATGGGTTCTTCTCCCAGGCAACTGGCAACAAGACAAGAGAGTCTGGCCTGAAGCTGCTCCACAGGAGGTTTAGGTTGGATATTAGGAAGAACTTCCTCATGGAGAGGGTAATTAGACATTGGAGTGGACTTCCTAGGGAAGTGATAGAGGCACCGTCCCTGGATGTGTTCAAGGAAAGGTTGGATGTGGCACTTAGTGCCCTGGTCTAGCTGATGTGGTGGTGTTGGTCATAGGCTGGACTTGATGATCTTAAAGGTCTTTTCCAGCCCTAGTGATTCTGTGATTCTGTGAACATGTTGCTTCTGTTGCTACCTAAGCTGTATAGTTTCTGACTTCTCAAGAACATGTAGGGTTTTTCCCCCAGTCAGCTGGAAGAACTAAAAACCATTAGATGTGCCTCAAGTGGCATTTGGAGGGCTCCAAATAAAGCTGGAGCTTCATAACCTCAGTTAGGAGATAGATTAACACTCTTCAGTTTCTGAAGTGTTGTTACAACCAAAAAAAACCTCACTTGGAAGAAAATTTGGTCCAGAAGAACTCTTTTCAGATTCAGTGACATTGCCATTATTCAGATTAGATCATGACCCTCTTCAAGCATGATTGGCAGATGACACTATGATGTTAACAAAGACCAGCTGTGACTGCACTCAGTAGTCATGAAATTAATGTGGCCAAGAGGTATGAATAGAGTTTGATAGATTAATCAGAAAAAAACCACAAACAAACAACAAAACCAAACAAAAACAAAACCCCCAAAACCAAAACCAACACAAAACAAAAAACCACACTGATTTTTATTTCAGAGTTAAAATAACTTCTTCCAGGCTGTTTGAGAACTCGAGGTGCTCTTCTGATCATTTTGTAATTCTGTTGAACATCTCTATTGTTACTTTTTCTCAAATAGCTACTGTTATTTTAAATAAGAAAATATATCCATTTTTATCAAAGGGATATACTTGATCTATGACACTTTTCTAGCTGTCAGTTTAGACTTAGCATTGGAAAAAAGCAGGTTGTACCTTTATCTGCAAATGCTCACTGAATTCTTGTTATTTAATGAGCAGTTATGATATTGAAATTCAGGCTTTGAAGGTGAGTGGGCCTTTTGAGTGGGATTTTGACTCTGCTGCTCAGTGAACCCATACATGCCTCTGCATAACTCCCACAGACTGTGCCTTGCTTTTGTTTGTAATAGTGGCTGTATAATGGTAGACCCTCATTATTGCATTACTTTTTACATTTCAGCTCCCTTTTCTCTGCTCTTCTTACTCCACCCTTTGCATCTGTTCACATACTTTATGGAGAAAAATGCTGACAAACCTGCTCAGCTATGTCACCTTTTTCTCTCCCATTCTTCAGGTGGTCCCTTTTTTCAAAGGAAGAGAGCATAGCTGTGCCCAAAGCTGAAGTCAATTAATATCTTGATTCTCTGCTGGCTTCAGAAAGCAAATTTCACATTTTCTACTGTTTTTAGAGCAGAAAATGGTTCATTTTTTTTGTTTTGTTTTGTTTGTTCATTTGTGTTCCCTTTTTTCCCCTGAGAGGAAACTTTATGACACTTCACACTGCATTAAGAGTAATACCAAACATACTGAAAGCTTTGCTTTCTTATCCTCTCGCCAACTCCTATATTGCATTGTTTTGGCTCCTCATAGAATTACAGAATTACAGGTTTGGGTTGGAAAGTAATCTAGTCCAGCTCCTCTCAGTGAGCAAGGACATCTTTAACCAGTTCCTCTCACAGTTGCCTGCAAGCAAAAGTCTCTGGGACATCAAAATTAGGTTCTATTTGATTACCTATTATATGATACTGTAGCAATATTCCTTGATAAATATTTAACATGCTATTTGTTTATTACCCGTTTAGCAAGTTTCAAAGAGATTGGGTACACAGATAACTAAGAATAACTTAATTTTAGAAAAAAACCCTGTTTACTAGAAAAATAACTAATTTATTTTGGAAATTACACTAAGGGTAATTTTTGAGGTATAACTTCATCTCTAATCCTTAGAGTCTGGGGAGAAGTCTGCTATGAACTCACAATGGCAGAATGTAGACATAACATGCTAACTGGCAGCATCCTTTTTCATCCTTGTTGCCCAACCTGGCCCCTGGAACACAGTAGTTTCCAGAGCAAATGTGTATTCCACATGGATTTGGTTATGCTAACATGTAAATAAATTATTAGGTTATCTCCTTTTATACAACGTTACATTTCTTTGCTATGCCTGGTGCTGACTATAGCAGGAGACAGTATCTCCTAACAGAAGGATTTTGGAATGTGTCTAGTTTACAATTTCTGTATTCTTATCCAATGCCTTTAATGTGAGTCTTCTGTTGCTATTCCAGGAGAAAACATAGCTTTTTCTTTTTTATTTTTTCTATTTTTATTTATTTTTAATTTTTTCTTTTCTTTTTATTTTTTTTTTGTGTGTGTGATGCTTTATGGAATCAGCTCAAAATGGCCAGAGTTTCAAGACACTAAGCCCAGAGAGAATCAATTTACAGATGGAAATAACATAAGATAATACAACATGTTACCTTCCAAAGTGTTTCGGAAACTGTAGTTGGCCATTTTGTCCATGGGTCCAGATTCATACTGGGTTAGTGACAAGCAAAATTCAACTTCAGCTGAAGATGGGAGCCTTGGCGTCCTTGATTTATCGTGGCTTCCAGGATTTCTCAGTATAGGCCCCTCACCCGTGGCATTGCATAAAGCTTGTTGACTGTTGTACTCTTCAGACTGAGTGCAAATAACCTGCAGAAAACACTTTCCATTATCAGATTTGCAATTGTAAAAAGTAAAAGCAAACTAGAGAAGTACTTTGACTAATATATTTTTGAAGGAACAAAGACAATGTACACCAAAACAAATAAAAATTCCAAACTACCAGAGAGCCCTTCAGATTGTATGACTCAATGATTAGCAGGTAATCAGTGTGGTTAATGAGAACTTTGTGTGGATAAAGAAGAGGTTTCAGTATTGTGTGAGACATCAGAGAGGAGAAAACACATGGCACTGAAACCTCCAGACTTCTTTATCCTGGAGGTGTACTTCTCTTCCATTGACCAAAACAATGAATGAGAAGGTGAGTGAAAGCAAACATGTCTGCTGAGAATGGGATGAAAGAACACGAGATTCTCTGTTACTGAAGGAAGTGAGTAGGAGAGTCATTTCACCATCACTAACCCTGTAGAAATTGCCAGATTGAAGCAACACTTTAGCACAACCTCTGCAGTCAACAGAGAGAGGGGCGTCTCCTGAGTGTAATTCAGCTCTTATAAAGCAGCCAACTGTTGGTGAGATGTAGTTACCTCTAAGGGTGTCTAACTCCCTCCGTTGACTAAGTCAATGAAATTAAAGTGTAAAAAAATCAATGCAGAAACTGTCTCTGGACTGCAGTTAGCAAGGGAAGCAAAATTAAGAGCATTCAACTTAATGCTCTGCTTCTGCATTACAATGGGATGAATCACACCCTGAAGGCATGAATATGCCTCTGAAGTGACTAAAGACAGAACCAAAGACAAGTTGTTTTTCAATGAGGGGAAGGAGATGAGATTAATCCTTTTCTAAGTGATTTGACCACAAATTCACTTGAAATATATATCAGAGTTGGTGATGTAACCTAGAATTCTTTAGAATCTGGAGTTCAAAAATTATAAGTTTCCTATTAATATGAATATCATTAATACGTTATTATTATAATTTTTTTTTTTAAGGAGATAAGAAAGCTTATCAGCTAAGTCTATCCTTAGGGACCGCAGTATTAGTTGAAATCTGCCCTAGTCTGTTAAAACTGCTAAGGTTCCCTTACAAGCTGTAAGTAGTTGACCAGCAGAGAGTTTCATGTGCACATTTCCCCCAGAAGTTCACTGAGTGGATCAAGATTGTGGATCTGTAGGACTGAGGTCAGGACTGTGCCTCTAAGAAGTCTCTTTTAAGAATCACCACTGAGAAGGGAGTGGTGGTCAACGGGGAGAGACCTACAGTTACACACAGAGCTGTGATGCTGTTTTTATGATTGTTTTGTGTTACTCAGAGTTTGTTCCCAGTAGAAGGACAACAGGGAGATGATTCAGGCTGAGGGAGATGCTCTAGTAATGTCCTTGTTTATAAAGAATGCACAGACCTCTATCCCTAGAAGTGCAGTGAAGAAGGCAAGGGTGTCTTGGCTGGTGGAGCTCAACCCAGAAGGAAACTACATGAATGTGGATTTTCTGTTTAGCTTGATTTTCTATGAACCTTATCTAGGTTCACAGAAAGGTCTGTACCTTCTTCTGTCTTCCCTACCTTGCCATCTTCTATCTTTTCATCCTCTCCCCACTGCTCTGGGAATAGGTCCCCGCTATGTTCTAAAGAGAAAACACATACTACCTTCAAGATGGGCTTTTCAGACATTCAGACAGGGACTATTCAAGCATGAGCTCAAATGTATCCAAACAAAGGAACACCTCCCCTTTGGTCTGTTTATCCATTTCAGTGGGATTTAAAGTAACTGTCATTTTTATGAGGCTTATAAAAGGCTAGAGTGCTATTTCTTTTCCCATTTATGTCTCAGAGTAGCCCTCATTAATCGTCTGACTAACAGAATTTATCCTGAGCAGAAAGCAGACGCTCTAAGGCATCTGATAATGCATGGTCAAGAAATGCCAACATAAGGGGCAGGAATGAAAAGGCTTATCTGTGACCTTCTGCTATTTGTTCTGAATTAAAAATTAAAGTATGATCATAAAATTAGCCAGGATAATTTTCCAGAAAGATGTGACTTAGGTGATATAAATTATGGATCTGAAACTATAATTTAATGTTTTAGCAATCATATGATGTGCAGGTGGTAACAGAATACAGTTCAGTCAAATATTCTTTTTGGGTAAAATATGTATAAAGCACACACAAGATGGGTCACATGGGCCTTCTTTTCATTAAGAGTGCTTTCTCTTAGAAACCAGCTGTTTTAAAACATTATTTTTTGTTCCCCTTCAGGACAGTCGTGAGCAAATTTCTCAGTTCACCCTGAACAAAGATTAATATTCAACCTACACCCAGTGCCCTCTCATCTGCATGAGCAAATTTACTGGTGCAAGGGAAATTGTTAGGAAGATGCTCTGAGGAAAAGCTTATGTAAGTAGTTAGCAGAGCAAATGCCAGCAGATGGCAGTCCAGAATATGCAGCATCGATCCTGGGCACTGTAGCACCCAGCAAAAAAAAACCAAACAAACAACTCCCTCCGTGCACTGCAGTTGAGATCTTTAGCACAGTTCTTTGCATCGTTTCTTAGAAAACAGACTGTAAATGTGTGGAAGTGTTCCTGTTGTCTCGCACCTTTTTGCAAATGGGAAACCCTTTTGTCTTTTAGTTTGCAACTGCTTGCACAGATCAGACCCTGTGCTTAAGTAAAGCTAATTGCATTACAATAGTTTTCAAGTTTTGTGTCTGCTAATTTTAAATTCAAAGCTTTGGGGGTTTTGGTGACAAATTCTTCGTGATTGCTTTGGACGTATTAGATCTGCAGTCACAGGGACATGCAATACAGGTAATATTGAACACTTGGGAAAAGGTGATTTTTTTCCCGTCGTATTAAAATAGCTTCTCACTTACAAAGGGATCTCAAGTTCCTTAGTTTGCTGGAGAAGCACAGCCACTGAAAGGGTTAATCTACATCTCTACTTCCTTTAAGAGTTGGTCCTTTGCTCTGTTTCCCTTGGGTCTGCCTCTGTCCAGAAACTAGACCAGAATGTTTGCAGAGTGATTTGCACCAGGTTAATATAGCCTAAAATGTTCACTTCAGAGTGCAGCCAGAGCCACCACATGACTTGTTTATCCGCAGCGTCCAGCCCAGCTCTCCCAGGGGTATGATGTGGGCACTTCCTGGACCTCTTTGACACATCCTTATGTCTCCATTTTCTCTACATTAAGTCCAGACTCCTGAGTCGGAGCCTTGGGTCCCACTAGTCAGTCAAAATGAGATTTTGCACTGATTAGTTGTTTTTCTCTCTTTGTCCACTTATTCTCTCATCCTTGCCTGGAAATAGCATTAAAGTGCAGTCCTCTCACTGGCAGTTCTAAAGAGGCTTAATTTTCACTTTTTTTCGCTGCATTAGGACCAAACATAATCTAATCCAAATTACATGCCATCTATAAGCCATTTACCCACCAAACTGGGAAAGTGCAAGGAAATCCCCAAATAACCTGCAACAGAACAAACTGTGTTTGGGGAGTTTGCTTTATAGGCAGAACTTGAAAAGGTGCTTTATCTATAGCAGACCAAAGGATTTTTAAGACTGTGTGTGTTTTTATCTGTTTCTTCATGTTCTTTTGAATATTAGCA